TCTAAGCAATGCGCGCTTGAAAGGCAACGCTTCGGTGGTTTAGCGATAAGACTTGCTAGACCTATTAACATTTCGCTCTCGGCACTGCCTCTCTGTGAATAAATAACTAAATAATGAACTTACAGCTGTTAAGAAATTGCTTTTTGTAGTGCGCCTTTATCATCATTTTTAATTATTAACCATCTGCATGGAAAATTCAAGTTTATTTTGTAAGACATCAACCGACTTACAGGTTTAAAACTTTGATGACCATGTCTACGTACTTCTCCGGAAAGAAGAACAAAACCCGAAAACAATCAGTCAAGTTTCTTGATTTCCAGATTTTGGGTTATTGATGTTGTTGGCCTTTTCATTTTTTGTTTTATTCATTTTTCTTTTGGGCTTGTTACCGCGGAAACGAATAAAATATTTATTACTAAAACTCAAATTGTGAAGTAAATTAATAAGTGTTAGTACAAACATAATTTTCTTAAGACATAATTTAATTTTCGGAAGATTTTTCAAAATGGTACACAGAGAACAAGGAAAGCGTGATTCTTCTATCCTGTTGTAAAAAAAAGGCTTCTTCAGTTACTGAGAGACTAAATTAGGCGTAAAATCACTTTGAAAGCAGTCAGCCATTGGAGCTTCTATACAAAAAAAATAGAGCCGCTCATGTAGCTCTGACTACCAATCAGAGTGTCCTCGTTTATATAACCAATCCAGCCGTTATCCATAGTAATGATTTCAGGCGTAATTTCATTCTCATGTAAGCGTGTAGGATAGATTGGATTGTTGTAGATGAGAATGAACTGGTTACTATTTTGTTAGACAAATGCAAGTTAGGTAAGAAGCTCATTTCAGCTCGATTGTTTCTGTTTTCGTTGACATACTAGTTGTATATTATGGTTTTTTTACAGTAAATACTGTAAAATACTACTTTGTTTTTAATTTCGTCACCGTTCCTTGTTTCGTTCTATTTGTAGCGATTGTTGTCACCATGTTTCTATCTATTTATATTCCATTCATACTGATATTCTTGAGGACCTTTCTACTCTTATCTGCACTACTGTGGTAACTTGTTTGAAAGTTTTTCAGGTACGTGTTTGATCATCATGTCTTGATTTGCAAACTTGTGACGTGCAGTGCACTTAAGACTCTTTCAAAATCCTAAGTTCACCTGTCTCTACTGTTTCAAAGGCATGGAATTTTGTTCTACATCTTTGAGATAACATTAAACATTTTAAGCAATGCCCATCAATTTTAGCTTTTTCGTGAGAGTTTGCTCCAGTGCGAATCGTAAGTTCAACGAAAGTGTAATTTTTTTCAGCCTCGTAAATCCATTTATGCCGATACCCTAAGAGTTAGTTCGGGAGCTCTCATTGAAGTCACGCTATTGTTCCGCTACAGTACCACAGACAGAGAAGCCACTAGAGTGTTGGCATTATTTGGCCGCTTGTCTGAGTGGCAGTTTAATTGATTATAAAACACAGATCTCCCGACTCGTGGCAAAGTGGGATGGGGGGGAGGGAAAAAAAATTTTTTCCGAAGAGATGTAATCGCCGTGATGGTGAAAGTAAGAGGGGACGAACGCGGGAATGCATGCTCCTTTACACGAACACTCCCTCAGGGCGATAGAAATGATTGGCTCTTGAAAGAGAGGTTAGATTGATGTGAGTCGGAAGACCAACCATGTAGACCACAAAGGCATATTGTATCGACATAAATAACATTATGCCCTAACATAATGTTTGGTTTTTTTTTGTTTGTTACTGTTGTCAACTATTTTCGATTTTTTTCTGTGTAAGCACCGGACCCTGTTTTGAAGTAGAATGGCAGAATTTATCTATCAATAAACGGCTAAAGGGATTTAACATTTTCCATTTTTTTCTTAATTTTGATATATAGCATTGAAGCAGCTTACTCAGTAGAGTTTGAGCTGTAACTTAAATGAAAGATTTTCATGCACCTGAATTTACGGGTGGCCGCATTACCGTGGTTCAAAAGAAATTTTTAAAGTGCTGTTATAGCAACGCGCATGCGCAAAACACAAACCGTGCAAGTGTGTTTCACCTTAAGCAAGTGTGTGAGAGAGACAATTTATCGTTTAGTAACGTTAATAAATAAAAAATCTTTGTTATGGTTTTAAGGGGACAGCCTGGGTGTATTTTGGAGGAATTATATTGTTTTGGGAAGGAAATGAATTAGGGTAGAAAAGATGGTATACGCACTGAAACGTAAGGTTAGTCCGCTAATGTTATCAGAGGCACCTTGTGATGGTGGACTATCTTGTATTTGTCTACTAATTTTCTACTTCATATTTAATTTTCAACAACCCTCAAATCCAATACTTTCTATTTTCCAAATTTCTCAATCCCCCCTCCCCCCACCCTCGCCCAAATTTTTCTGCATTAAAAACATTCGAAAAATCATCCAAAACTCATATTTCTCGGAAAATTATTGAACCAAGGACTGCAAACTAATCGAGTCATTTTTCGACTGAATGAAATTTTGGCTAGATATTTAAGAAAAGGGGCAGAAATAGGACAAAAAAATGCTTTCAACCAGACTTCCCCTTAAGATTTGTGATTATTTTTCAAGAAATTCGAAGTCCAATTTGGACAAAGGTCGTTTTCCATACTGAAAATACTGTAAAAAGCCTGAGTTTCAGTGTTAAAAGTCTGCACATAATTTTCATTTATTTTACTTAACACTTAGCTGGAATGATAGATTAATCCTTTAACTTAAAGAACTTGCTCTATAATGTTAAAGAAGTCATCTTCGAGCGATTTTAGTCACTCTGCTGCGCCAAAATCGCCCGTTTTCTCTTTCTTGGGGCATTCATGCCCTGATTAGTCCGCCTCCATGGCTCATTGATATGCGTAAATGTCCGACCATTTCTCCCGATGTAATCGCAAATCATTTTGTTACTGTATATTGAAGTGGTCATCTGTCCCCCAGATCGACGCTTGGGGACTGTCAATCGATGATCAGTTCACAGGTGCCTGCTGTCGTTGTAACAGCGTAGTTTCAGCATTTCAAGGAGCTGTCATAACGTATATTTGGGCGTTTCTAACATGTCAACATAGTCTTTGTTCTTTCAGTTCTGCTAAAATGTGTTAGGATGTGCACATCAGAACCTGCCCAGATGTTGTATTTGATACTCGACTTTTATTGGGAGAAATTCTGAAAACAATTTGAATTTAAGGGCCTGCCTTAAGTGAACTACGCATGTTCATGCTGTCATAGAGTACTATTATAGGTTTGCAGCCAAATTAAGGAGAAGGCTCATGGATTTAGACCTGACCATTCCAAAAGAAGCTCGAGTCATCAATGGTTTCACTCGGTGTGTTGAAGGTGACCATTTCAATGGGTAACCCTCACAGAGAAATCCACTTAGCCATTCCAGGCTGGAATTCTCTGGAAATAAGAACGTGTTGCTACAATGAATTTTACGGCGAAGGACGTCTATAACATGGGCTTTTAATTCTCCGACTTTATTTTGGTAGATTTTGCCTTGACTGGTCACACTTTTGATACAAGTCAGGTAGGTGATAATACAGAGTGCGCTGCCAAATGTATGGCAAATGACACATGTCAATCATACAACTTTGAAACCAGTGGAGGCATGGGCAATCAACAATGCGAGCTGAATAACCATTCGCGAATTTCAAGACCGCGAAGTTTGGAAAAGAAGCTGGGATTTAACTACTATGGTTCAGTTCCGGTAGGCTTAAGAACCATTTATGTGTTTCATTACTCAATTTCCTATCTGTAATGACAATCAAACGTTGCGATCTCAACGACACATAAACTGGTTTACTTAAGTAACCTCACCATCTTCCTGGTCCTTAGCTTATGCCCACATCATAGGACCATTCGAACAGCTTGTCACGTCACTCTCTAGACAATGCATAACACAAAAGTCAAGTTAACTAATCGTTACAATTGCGGGGTGAATGAATTTTTAAATTAAAAGTAAGAGAACCTGTGATGATGAAACAAGTGCGGTTTTAAGCAAACGGAAAGTACCTAAAATAGTTTCGTTTTTATGATGAGCATCCCTGTTAGCCTGTGTGTAATCGTTATTGTGTTTTGTAAATGCATGTCGATTGTATAAATTTATATATCGATATATAAGTTCGTATTCGTTACTCCGGTAAATACTTATTCTACTTAGTCAGTTCATAGTGCACAGCTTTACACAACTATAATCCTTTTTGTAACCAATAAAGAATAGAATAAAAACATAAAAATTTTCTTCTGTAGATTCGTTGTGCTCAGAACAATTGCAAAACTAAGAACGACTGCAAATGTCACCATGGTTATAAAGGCCAACGATGACACAACACGTGAGTTAATAGCCGATTGCGACGTAACTATCCATTTACCTTTATTTATCAGCTAGTGATAAACAACGAAACAAGTGTTCAGGCTTTCAATCGTTTGGGTTAGGAAAGGCTGAAAATAGAGATTTCTAAACATGTAACTCCTTTAATTAAAAAAGATCCTGGACAATATTCAGCTCTGACGGATCCACACCCATCCGTGGAACAAGTTTCGGGGAAGGGTCAGTTGAACCCTCCGTGGGTTCTTGCTATTTTAAAATATTTGTAAAGACGAAATCTCAAACAATTAGACTGCAGTGAGGTCTTTAAGATGATATAAATGTTATGGTCCTCGGTGTTGTTGGGAACAAGTGAAAAGGGTCACCATATTGGATCTTGCAGAAAACTCAGATTTCTGCAAATAGTTTTCATGCCTGAGATTTTTTGTCAGTGTTCCACATCCTCTACAAAAATTAAAGTACATGCACTTCCGTCTAAAACTGGCTAGACCTGACGTCACTTATGACGTCATATCTCCTAGCAATAACAACCAATTGTCGGCACAGTTTTCAGTATAATGAAAACTGACGCAACGATTTTGTTACAGAGGCTATGGGTCAGCCATGTCAAGCGGCTCTCGCTGTTTTAGGTCTGTGCTAAACTCATCACTAAAATAGTGCCATCACCCAAGCACAAAATGATCCGTTAAAGAAGATATCAAACAAGTTTCATCAGGGAGCACTAAACAATAATAATTAATAATAATGGTGATTTTTGCGGGCACTGAGCACTGATTAAAACTTGAAAAAAATGGGCCCAATATTTTTCAAGTTTCAAGACACGTCCATCCATGCCATCCTTAATAACTGACTACAGGGAATAGTTTCAATGCCTAACTTAGTCTTAGATATTGATGCGAAGACACATTCAGTTAGCTTTATACAAAGATAGCAACTAATATGACATAGCTTTTTAAGGTTTGCGTTTAAAGGGTATTGTCTCCCGTCATTTCTTTTTCTTTGCTCCAATGTAGACGGTAACCTCGTGACACGTTTCACTGTTTAGTCGTCTTTAAATTTAGTTTTGGAAAGATTAAATAATATTCAATAGATTCTTTTTCTCCTTTTGTGTCCAGAGAAACTTGGTTATTTCTCTTCAAGTCCTGGTCATTCCTGTAAGCACATCCGGGACTCTGGTGATTCAACAGGGGACGGAGAGTACTGGATCGACCCTGAGAAAAATGGCAGGCCTTTAAAAGTCCTTTGTCATATGACAACTGATGGAGGTAAANTGCTATTTTAAAATATTTGTAAAGACGAAATCTCAAACAATTAGACTGCAGTGAGGTCTTTAAGATGATATAAATGTTATGGTCCTCGGTGTTGTTGGGAACAAGTGAAAAGGGTCACCATATTGGATCTTGCAGAAAACTCAGATTTCTGCAAATAGTTTTCATGCCTGAGATTTTTTGTCAGTGTTCCACATCCTCTACAAAAATTAAAGTACATGCACTTCCGTCTAAAACTGGCTAGACCTGACGTCACTTATGACGTCATATCTCCTAGCAATAACAACCAATTGTCGGCACAGTTTTCAGTATAATGAAAACTGACGCAACGATTTTGTTACAGAGGCTATGGGTCAGCCATGTCAAGCGGCTCTCGCTGTTTTAGGTCTGTGCTAAACTCATCACTAAAATAGTGCCATCACCCAAGCACAAAATGATCCGTTAAAGAAGATATCAAACAAGTTTCATCAGGGAGCACTAAACAATAATAATTAATAATAATGGTGATTTTTGCGGGCACTGAGCACTGATTAAAACTTGAAAAAAATGGGCCCAATATTTTTCAAGTTTCAAGACACGTCCATCCATGCCATCCTTAATAACTGACTACAGGGAATAGTTTCAATGCCTAACTTGAGAGATCTTGTTACCTGTTTCGTACGGCGACCTAATCACCACCAACCTACGCTAAGCTGTAGACTCCGACCTGCGGACTGTCCCTAGGCCTTGTAGTTTTAGTTAAATAGTTTGTATTTAGAATTTTCTAATTTTGTGGTGGAATATTCGTTCGCACTCAGCTTTCCTGGATATATGTTTAGGGAATTTCAATTTGATTTCAAGCTAGTGAAACATCACATTTTGACAATTTATTAGGCAAACAGTTAATATCCATTATTCGGTCTTCCTTTCTCTTCAGTAATTCCATGCGTTGCCATGTGGAGTTCTCGGTTTCTTAAACTCCAAAAATCTGCTCGCAGTAAAATTACACTTACGGCTTTTTAAAATACTATTTAATACAATGGGAGGACTTTGTGAAATAATCCATGGCTTCGTTGAAATTGCCTTTTAAAGTTCTAGGTTCATTACGTTGATGACTTCAAATATCCAGCTTTAACTCAGCTCATAAGTAATAAAACAGCAAGGATGCTTGCACCTGGAAATAAAAAAAATTATGTTGAATTCAGGAGGCTGGCTTAATGTTGCCACCTTAAAGAAAGCCGACTCTTCCCCTACTTGGACCGCTGAAATTTCATACCGCGGGATCAGCAACTATCAGAATAACTTAATGGCCATTAGTACAAGTTCCATGCGTCAACTCAGGTCGCACCTGAACTTCACTCAACTGAGATTCCACTGCAGTAAAGAAAATGGGTGCATCTTTCACGTCATCACGGTCATTAACAGCACTGGGGAAGCTGTAGTCCAGTATTTCAGCGGTCAGTCAAGTGTTCTGCAAGCCTCGTGTGGCTCGTTCATTACAATGAAGGACGACAACTCGTATTTAGCTCAACAGTGTCACCGATGGGGAAACGATGGATCACGACATTATGTTGGAAAATGGGGTCACTTCAACAAAAACGGAGAACAACGAATGTACGACCATTCGGCGTTTGTTGCCCACCGATATCACTGGGTTGTTTATAACAACGTATGGCTCTGTGATGAGTCAAGAGGCAATGTCTTTGCAACTTCAACAGAAGATTTCTGGAAAATCTATGTTCGCTGAAAATGAGGAATAAAAAATGCTGTCTGCTTGACTGTGTTTAACATACTTACAGAATCGATGAATCTGTAGTCTACATGATAAGAAAATTACACAGTTTTTTCTTTTAGGGCTCCTTTTTTATAACAACGTTGAGGATGAAAGTGAGGAAAACTGGATGGCAACACGATATTCCTTTAAGAACCCTTAATTCGAATATGTACTTCTCACCTGGACGATGTCATATCAATTTTTTCTTTATTATTTAAATCCATGTAAATATTATCATGAGCTAGCATAGAATGTAGAAATAGTGGTTTCAGTAGGCTTTTATTGGCAATCTCTTTTCTAATATCTTTTCGCCCCTTGTAAGGGTATCCGGATTCCGGAATCTGTGAAATCTTTGCTTGTGGAATCCGGAATCCTACTAAGGACTGGAATCCAAAATCAAGTTTCCACTGACAAAGAATCCTGAATCCAGTACCTTGAATCCGGAATCCACGGTATGGAATCCAGAATCCAAGACTTTCGTGGATTCCTTTACATGGAGCGAATCTTTCAATGACGCGGGTCTAAAAGCTTAAGAGAAGAGGGTCCCTAGAAACAAGCTCGGATTTTTGGCTCCATTGATAAACCAATTTCGATATCATTTAAATTCATACTTGGTTTAGAGGTTTGGGGAAAAAGTCTAAAGCCGAGTCGCCTTGAGGTCCAGAATGAATAATACATTTCTTTTGTTTTATTTCCCTAAGCCTCGGATTACATAACGTAGTTGAGTAAATATGATAAAGCTGTAAATTATTAAAAAGGAAGGTGGTAACAATTCCATCAAGAAATATAGAAATAAACTTTATTTAAATAACCATTCCTCGCCAAATTTTTAAAAAAAAATGGCTGTTAAAAATCGTTTTCGTGGGAACGTTGCCGCTAAAGGATCCTGAAGGATCTGAAGTGCAAGTCAGGAAAATTTAAAATAGTCCCAGTTCAGCCTAGTCCCTAAGCGTTCTCGGCTCGGTCAATCCTGGACTCTACCGTAAGCTGTGACGTCACCGAGAGATACACGCCGAGAACGCCTAGCCAATACTGCCAGATCAAATATGGCGGCCCTTTTGTCAGGTTACTGCAGCTTCAGCCGAAAGTAGCTGAAAATCAGTCATTTGAACCGGAAGAGTTGCTACGTGCATGCCACAGCGAAAACAAAGTTTCGGTTTCTTAAAAAAGGATCCGCGAGACCAAGTTTTGTTCAACTTATATAAGTGGACTTTCACGCGCAGCAACAGGTACCAGACGATGAACTTCTATCTTGAATTTGTGCCAATGAATCTCTGTACGATGGAGGAGCTGAGGTTACGGACTGTAGTCGAAACAGGGGACAAGGCAAACGTGTATATTGTCAACATATGCTTCATTACGGCATTTCTGGGCATTTTCAAGCACTCGCTAATGTTTTAAGACGACGCATCAAAAGCGTCTTTCCAGAAAGAAAAAATTAATAAATAAACACAAAAAGTAAGTGTTGCGGGGTTTGATTCACTTCGTAATGTATATATATATATATTTTTTACTAAAGTGACGGTTTCTAGCAGAAAAACAGCACATCTTTCTTACATTTCTCACGAAATACAGATATTGAGGGCCCAGATGGGTGTCTCGGTAAAAGATACTGTGTAAACCCTAGTGGTATGGTTATTGAACTGTTGTGTGCCTATAGAGCTATTGTTGACAAACAAACCCCATTTTAGGAGAAACAGAAATCACAATGTAAAGCACTTAAAAAATACTTTATTTGGCATTGCATCTTTGAATTGAAAGAATCATGAACCTGAAATTTAATAAATTAAAAACAAAAAACATTTGAACCAGGTAGACATTAACCGTGTTAAAGGTACATACAAATGTGGCGCATGATTAGAAAATTGAAACCATTTGTATAAAATAAAAAAAAATATTTTAATCTGAAGAGAGAAATTATAACATGATTGCTTTAAAATGATAGGTTTTTACCCGATTAAGGATGTATGGACACCATAAGTTTTAGTGCAAATGTAAGACCCTATTAAGAAAATATTATTATTTTGCAGATCTATAAATGCTATCTTATTGTATGCGTACTTTGTGCCTGCAATAAATTAAATAATATGCACCACACCCCCATTTAAGTCCATCCCTCCCCTCTTTTACAGCCTGTCCCAATATAAAACTTACTGGGATCAAAAAATGAAATACTGGCAGATTTATAATGAGGCTATAATATGTTGTTAAGGTTGCCTAGTTTAAAATTCCTGTGTTACAGTAATGAAATAGTTCGAATTTTTCAAATAATCAAATATATAACTATTTAATTTAATTAAAGTAAGAATTACATTCCCAGGTATACAATAATCAGCTGAAAGATTGGATAAGAAATTATTATTATATCTGTTGGAATTAGCCTCAGTGCAAAAAAAGTGATACAAATGAATACATTGCACAGTTTTACCTATTTTTCCAGTCTCTTCTGCTGACTGGTCTTCACTGATCGACTGTTTGGCAATGTCCTTGTGTCCTTTTTTACAGAACATATAAAAGAAGGACGAGAAGAATATCCTGCAAAATCATTAAATGCGCATCAGACAAATTTTAAATAGCTTCAGGTTTACCCTAAAGGTCATTTTATTTCCAGTGGCTACAACTCACTTCTCCAGATCTTCAGTAATACAAAGTCAGAATTAAGCTTAGGTTATAGTATAGAGATAAAAAGGATGAGCACAAGGCAAACTTTCGAAAATAAATAAATAAATATGTCAATTATTGTTGTTCATTCAAAATACGTAGCCATTTTCAATTGGCTCAAGGCCCCAGCTAATTCATAAAAAACAGGTACTTTTCATATTTGGAGGATGCAAGCAATATACCCTTGATCCCATGATATATCATTATGGTTTTCAGAAGCAGAGTTAGTACACGGTATCTTTGCCTAGTGACAAGGCTGCTTGGGCGATATTGAGTGAACTAAATATGTGTTTATATACCTATACCAAGATGAAATAGTTAAATTTTCTGACCAAGACTGGATGGAATGCAAGAACATGCAAATCATGTTTCTGGATGAATATTTAACAATTATTCCACGAGGGCGCGTTGGATATGAGATGATGATAGATAGCCAACGAGGCGCGTAGCGCCGAGTTGGCTATAATCATCTCATATCCAACAAGCGCGAGTGGAATAAATGTTTTATTCAAAACGCCCACAAAATCTCGTTGAATCTCCCCGACTTACAATTTTGTTACAACAAACCGGAAAAGACAAGGGACTTCCGCTATTCACATGTCATACGTCTATCAAGACTGTCAACGCGCGAACGGACTCGCACGGACTGCATGAATGGAAAATCAAAACATTGTAGCGACGAACATTAGTTTTTTAAAAACTCATCGGGATTCTAGGATTTTACACAGCAGAACAGCTAAACAGACCTGGCAGATAATGTGAAGGAAAAGAATTTTTAAGTGACAGCCGTCGAATTTACCGTGAATTTGGATTTTCGGTGCAGTTATAAAAGTAAGAACAACGGAGAAAAACTATCACCTCGGTCGCTTGTTATGAAGTTGTTTGAAGCCACAAGCTGGTTTTGCTGAACGAGAAAAGTAGCTATACTGCCGCCTCGATTGCCCTAGTGAATGGCTGCATAGCCTATATTTGTAGTTGGTTATATTTGTGATTTATATTCTTGATGTCGGATAAACAAGCCGCAGTTATCTATCGGCGAGTGACTCGATCGGCGAATGGCTTCGCGATCATGAAGAAACAACACATGTCTTCTTTCGTAGCCCGGTCAAGGTACTTTAGTTCCATGTGTTTTCATGTGTTTTTCGACAAACTTTCAAACAAGTTCTTGCGGCTTTTTTGTTTGTTTTTGTCTTTTTTCTTTCGATGAAATTGCATTTCTAGTATTCTAAGAAATGAATTAAAACAATTTGCTTCGGGCGCCGTTCTATCCTTCGCGAAAAAAAATCTCAGCTTGCTTCCAATTTTTAAACTGACGCGTACACCGACCATATATGAAGAGCATGGTAGCTCATATACCATAACGGCTAAGCCAATCAAAATGCTAGAATTGCATTATCCAATGATTCGGTTTTTAATAATAATTGTTATTTGTTTTTTATATGATGTGCAGAATTACGCTGATCTGAGGTGGGCATCATTCTATTCAATAGACGATATTCGTATTCCCCGACGGACCTGGGACGAGAGACTTCACAGCATGATTGCGAGGCTAAAGCGGGGAACTTTTTGGCAAAAACACAAACAAACATTGGTTAGTCGCGGCTGAATCGCTGCAAAACGATAGAAATCAGCAAAAAAACTGCAAGATTTAGAAGCTGAAACCTTTCGGGTAAGCTAAAGGGATATCAGTTTAAAAAACAAAACTATGGGAAGAGCTGGTCGTACTAACAGCAAAAGTCAAAAAGCTACGAAGCCAAAAGAAGAAACAAGAAGTAATCAAGAAAATGGTCTATTGTGTCAAAATGTCAATACTCGAATCCTTTTTATATAATTTTCTTCTTATTATTATTCTTTTTCTCTTGTGTGTATCTGTAGTGTGGAGTTTAAACTGCTCATTATTATCGTCTGTACCAAACGGTGTGTTTAAATGCGTGCACGTTTTTGCACTCTCACACAGTTGTTATCGCAGGTAATGTACTTAAATTTAAAAATAAACTTTACCTAGTCATCTTTGTACAAACTGGTTTAACTTCTTTAAAATGCACATGGACTGTGAGCAGAACGCTAAGCCCCGTCCTGATAAGTAATTATCCACTGAATGAGTCGTTTGGTTTACTTCAAATACACATTCAAGATTTTGCATCCGCTCTGTTAGAAAATTTCAACTGCAAAGTAGGTATGATAACATCACTGTTAACTTTATCGCAGGCTTTCGATAATTACGTCCATTTCAATAAAAGATATTCTTCAAAAAGTTTAAAAGGTACTGAAAATTACAATTAAAATGGCTTTGGGGATTTTGAGAACATCTC